GGAAATTGGTAGGTGGGCTGATGAGCGGCAAAATATTGCATATTTTCATGGCCTCATTACATGCATTTTAACTTAACTTTGCATTTAATTACTTAGAGTTAGCCGATATAATGAGTAATCTTGAAATCTTGTGGTAGCAAGTAATTATAGCTTAAATGATGAATTTTAGAACCTTGCAAACTAAGTGTGGATGTGGGGTGAAGATGTGGACACATTACATAAGGATTTGGAGGCTTAGAAGTGAAAGAAATCAAGGAGATATCAATGTTTGGTAACATGGCACCAGCACCCGCACCATTTGGCAAACAGTATCTCAATTTTCCTCCATTTTGACCATGATCCACTATGAATATGAAAAAGTGCAAAACATGAAAGTTGTAGATACGGATGTCTTTTGTATTATGTCAACATTTCAGCTCAATCAGACTGTTGGATCAAAAGTTATGATCATTCTACAAAAATTGGTCCGGAGTAGGCAGTACCGGTATGGTTTGGCTACTGATGTTCGAAGTACCGGTACATAGTACCGCTATGCCGTTCTGAAATAGCCCAAAATACCAAGATCGCCTATATCTCAACTCCACTTGCTTGGGGCCTCCACCTACACTTCTCTCACACCTATCCTAGACATTTTCTACATACAATCATGCTATTCTTACACAATTTCTTGACTTTGGAAGAGAAGGCATGAGAGGAGAGAGAGAGGATGATGGTGTTGCAGCTAAGCTAGCCTATGCTTGCTTGCCTAACCCATCCATTCAGCCCCTACTGATGGGAGGCTTGCACACACCTTGGGGAGACCACCATGGACGAAATTACAAGGCTAACACTCCATTTATTCAGCATTCCACAAGCATTTTTCAAAGTGGTGGCTACCTAAGCTTAAGAAGAAGATGATGAATAGTTAGATACATAAAACTTAGATTTTTGGCATTTCCTTCATCCAGTTTCACTTGTAATCTTCTTGATACTCTTTTAGCTTCATATTTACTTATAATGTCATTTACTTCAATTGCTTTGCAAGTTTAGTTAAGTATTCTAGATTTCACCATTGTTGTTTAAGTTTTACATTTCAAGCTTTTTTAGTTGGGTATTAAAATGCACTTATTTTTCTAGTTTCATTTCTCGTCATTTCATACAAGTTCAACTTCCATTTCAATATCGTGTCTCTTTACATTATGCATTTCTCTTGCTTTCATGAGCCGCTAGATTTTTAGTTGGCTAATCCAAGGGAGAACTTCTCTTGGGTTTGCCATTTCAACTCATTTTTATTTCCTCCTCTTGGTGTACGATGGTTCGATTTGACTGATTGAGTATGAAAGTGGTAGTGAGTCTTTGATATCCCGCTAGGCCTGGTTCACGGGTTTATGCTTGGATCCTCACTTCCATCTCGTCCCTCACTTCCCACGAATCAATCGTTTATCTATGCACCATTGGAGGAAGGTTTCGAGTTGAGTTGGTATTCCCATTAGAATGACCTCTCTTGGATTAGCCAACACTTGTTTTTCTTTCATTTTTTGCAAGACAAAACACAAAACACCAAAACTCAAAACTTCAAAAGATTTACACTTCTCTTCCATTTTGACAAAATCACCTTTACAACACTTGTACTTCCTTCCCTGAGGAGACGACCTTAGAATATGTTTCCAAGTAAAAACACGACATTCAAAAGACTCCTTGCGCTTGGGGAGCACTTTTGTTCACAACAATACACACATTTTGTACATTTCATATTCCACCATTTCGTTGCCCATTTTCCCCCATCATTCTGAGGGAGAGTGACACTCCCCCATTCCTATAAGCCATACATATTGAGGGATGATGTTAGGAGGTTAGGGACTACAATGGAAATATCAAGTATTTTTGGCACCGTTGCGGGGAAGGTTAAGCGTCGAGTTCGAAGGTGATTTTTGGCGGCATAGGTAAGTCTCATGATTTTCATCACGGGCCAATTATGTTGTATCGTTTTTAAATAGTTTGTAAATAGCTTGTGTTTTATGTAATGTCTTATAAATTTTATGATAATGTATTAAATGCCCCATATTATGAAAATGTGTGTGAGATTTGTGATGAGTATGGGCACATCACTAGTGAGTGCCCAATAAATGCCCCTTATTTTGAAAACGTTTGCGAGATTTGTGGTGAGTACAGACACATCACTAGTGAGTGCCCAATAAATTATCGAGATCAAGACTTTGCATGCGAAGGTTCATATTCAATTTTGGCCTCCGAAGACTTTACCCCAACCACGATATTATACCGAGTTATGGTTGGGAGAATGAATCTTATAATTTTTCATCCAATCTCACACCGACACACCAAATGAATTTTACCGCTATCTAACATGTGGGGACTCAACTGAAGTAGAATTGAAAAATATATTGTGCGATTTTATGCAATACCAAATGGAAGTCAATGACAAAGTAGCCCAACAACTTTTTGAAATTAGATATGACCTTATTGCATTGATTAATGCTATAACTACTATGCATGAAGAACAACATCTTGAGAATAGTCAATGTAGTGAGGATGACCATCTCAATGGAATGAATATTGATGTTGAATCTTCCACCACTCATGATTGTGAAACATTTAATGAGGATATCATCTCACATGAGGCTAATGAGCCCAAGGTCATTTTGTCATCTAAGAGTGATGTTGAGATTCACATTTCTCAACTCGGGGATGGCATTGAAATGGAGTTTTGAGTGGAGAAACTTTTAAAGAGAAATTGTATATTCCATTGTTGGAATTGCATAAACTTTCCTACACATCTATTTGGTTGAGATTTTTGAATTGTTATCCTTTATATTGTTGGTTAGATTGGTTAGGAAGGGCATTTATACAACAAAAAAGTTTTAAAATCAAAAAAATAAATGGGCGTAAGCTCATATCCGAATTGAAGCCGGATTGACATGAGCCCTTGTTGTTTTGTTTTCATGTACATAGTAGTTAGATTCTTTTATTGTTATATTTTCCTTTTCTTGATGTTGTAGTGTGGAAGTTGTTTACCTCTCCTTATTTTGGACTCATTACATTTTGAACATCACCGTAGAAAAACTCATTCAAGTGAGTCATTTTGATATATAATTTCTCATTCAATACTTAATGGTTTTGGACAAGTAAATATATCATATTAATCTCGTTGCAGAGGATAACACATTTAAACATAGTCCCACCAATTTTGAGGTATGGATCCCACTCTAAATAACTTTATTTAAAATCATTTTTCCAACAGAAAATCACCTTAAAGGGTAAAAGGGGACTTCAACCAACAAGGCTTACCTAGGGGAAGAAGCTACTATCTCTAGAAGGCTATGTTATCACTTATAGCTGGCCTCGTTGCACCTAGGGGAGAAAGCCTCTAAAGGCCAAATATTCACCGACAATTTTATTAAGATTACACCATCATTGTGTATAAAAGGCAAGCCAGTATGTTGCCAAGGATGTTTGAATAACTGTATTTGTCTTCTTTTTCAAGCAATACACAACCAAGGAATATGAGCCTCAATTACAGTGGACTAACGCAACTTTTCAACTATGTGAACCACTTACATTCTGTGTATTCTTTACTTGTTTCACCTTACACTGCACCCCTAACCTAGAGCTCTTGCAACTCATCCATCTCACATTTCTCAGTTTTTTATACCATCAATTTATAATTTATTTGAAGTTAGATTATGACTTAAAATATTATTTACATTGAAACAAAACCAAATTGCAATTCATAAAATTAGGATTGATACTCAAATATTAGGATTGATTCTAGAACTGCCATTATTTCCATAACTTTACTAAATTTCATTTTATTTTCAAAACAAACTTACACTAGAGTATAAACACAACTTTGTTATCTTTATTGTTTTGGATTTTAATAGTAGTGAATTGTATATGTAACCATGTCCATTATCATAATGAAGCTATGCTGTCGGAAGACGAAGTGTTCACAGGTTTCATGGCGAATTGTATTATGCATCATGAAATATTTTAAATTTTTTATTTTATAATTTTTAATATTAAATTTATCATATTACACTTTTAATGTGTCAAAAATATTATAATGTGATATTTCTGTTAATTTTTTTGTTAATTTTTTTTTGTGAGTACCAATTCATTGATTTTTGACAAAAATTAAATAACAAAAATTAACAAAAAGATTTTACAATACTTTTTACAGATATAGTATATAAAATTTAATTTTTAAGAATACAAGATACTTAGTGTGTCAGTTCATTTGTGACATAGCTGCCATTATTCCATTCCTAATCTTATCAACTTACTCATGACTTACCCCTTAACCATCATAAATCATCTCTTACTTCCTCTTCATTGATGTTTGACCAATTATTAAAATTAACTGTTAAATGCCGAAATTAAATTATTGGATGCAAAACAAATCAAACCTTATATAATTTTCGATATTTAATACATTAAGTAAAGAGTAATTTTTTTTTTGATAATTTTTGATATTTAATACATTAAAATAAAAGAGTAAATTTCTGATAATCAGTCATCTTCGTTTGAAATCAAAGTCCCACGACAGAGTACCTTCCAGTTCCTGGCTTTCCTTCTACTGTTTCTAAGGCATTTTCTCATCACCAACCAAGGATAACACCATCATTCCTTCTTTATAATTACCACGATTCTTTTTAAGTATACTTTCTTTGCAAAAAAAAAAAAAAAAAGCAACTTCGGTTCTCATTTTCGTGTATAGATTTTTAAGAAGAGGGGAGGCAATGGGTGCTGTCAGAAAGCACCGTCTCAGCTTAGATTAAGACTCACATTTGCTCCAACAGAGAGGACCCACATAGGAAATTACTCAGACTGGCTATATAACTGGTGTTTCTTTGAACTGGGTTGATTTGGGTGTCTTAGAAATGAGGTCTTTTTGATGTGCTTTTTCTAGGTTTGTTTGGTCAGAGATCTGTGTTTGGTGTTTGGTTAGTTGCCCGAGGAAATGGGGCTTCTCGGATCTGCGCACTGAATGTTGCTCCTCTAAATCTTCTCTCAAACAGGTATGAGAACGAATAGCTTTCAAATAACATTGCAACAGTTTGTTTTAACTTTTTCCCATTTTTTTTTTTAGTTTTAGATTCGCTGCCAGAATATATTCAATGTTTATTTTGGTAGAATAATTAAACGAGAAAAAGCAAACGATCTTATATTAGTGGATCTTGTTACATTGTGCTCTTGATCTATATATTAACCAAGTGGAATGTGTACCTGTGTTGTGAATCTTGTTTATTACACTTTCTATTCGAACATGCCTTCTTGTTTCTCCTGTTACATTGTTGGCTTTAAGAGGAAATGGTGGACTTTTTACCCCTTTATCAGTGAGAGTTGTAGGATGAGCACATGAATAGGGTAGATGAGAGGCCATGAATGCTAGGAGAGCAAGAAATATACTGTAACAATTTTCCATTAATGATGCAGCGGAATCAACACCAGTGTTAGATGTATACTTTGCAACATAAATCTCAATCCTGCTTGTTTTTGTATTTATTCTGTAGATGCTTTGAGGTTTGCGAGAAATGGCTACTGTTCTCAATGCAGAATTATCGGAGAAAACTGGCATTTTTGGTCTCAAGGTTTGGGAATTGATTGGGATCATTGTGGGGTTATTTATTGTGGTTATCCTCTTTGGCTTAACTTTTTATCTTACTTCACGAAAGCGATCTAGAAGGGCTAGAGAAAAGATTCCCCTTAGTCATATTCCAATTGTTTCAAAGGAAATTAAGGAAGTACAGGTGGATCTAGTGTCAACAAATGAATTTGTTCCACGTGATGGGATTCTTCTCGCAATCCATGACAAATCCAGCGATAAAGAATCTGATAAGGTTTTGCTCCATTTGAGAAGGGGAAAAACAGAGAATGGAGATAACAGCAGTCGATCGGATTCATTCCATCATCTTGATAAAGAGGGTGGAGGGTCTCAATTAGGAGAAGAAGGGAGTTCTGACACATTTGCGTTGTATAAATCTTCTTCTTCACGTCCAATAAATGCTCCTTCTCCTTTAATTGGCCTGCCTGAATTTTCTCACTTGGGTTGGGGTCACTGGTTTACATTAAGAGATCTTGAACTTGCAACAAACCGATTTTCAAAGGAGAATGTTCTTGGTGAGGGTGGATATGGAGTTGTTTACCAGGGACATTTGGTTAATGGGACTCCAGTGGCAGTTAAGAAGCTCCTCAACAACCTGTGAGTTTAAAAATGGCTTTGCTTATTTCATGCCTGTATGGTAGTTTATTTTTCTTGTTTTAGTTGGTTGTCAAATGTTGGAAGTTAAATATGTGAACTCTTTTGTTCTAGAGGCCAAGCGGAGAAGGAATTTAGAGTGGAGGTTGATGCTATTGGCCATGTGCGTCATAAAAATTTGGTTCGCCTTCTCGGATACTGCATTGAAGGAACTCATAGGTACTATTCTGGTAAAACGTATTTCTTAATAGCTTTTTTGTTTGCATTCGTTCCGGCAATGAGTCACCCTTGGTGTTAGAAACCAAACCCTTGAAATGAATGTAGTTTTTCTTGTTCACACATGCATCCAAGTCCCAAGTGGAATTTAAAACCTGAATCTCCACTGCTCGGGTGGTGGGAGGAGATGCCACTCAAACTAACAGCTGGTTTTATAATGCATCTAAGACCTTGAGTCCTTCCAGTTTTCACTTTTCATTTCAAACAGTATCTTTCTCATTTATTCCATATGTTTCAGGATGTTAGTCTACGAGTACGTGAACAATGGAAATTTAGAACAATGGCTCCATGGAGCTATGCGCCAGCATGGATATCTTCCTTGGGAGGCCAGAATGAATATTCTCCTTGGCACAGCAAAGGCGTATGTTAAATCCAACTGTCTCTCTCTTTCAACACCGGTAGATCTTGTGACATGTGGTACATTTATTGCAGACTTGCCTACTTGCATGAAGCAATTGAGCCAAAAGTTGTTCACCGAGACATAAAGTCAAGCAATATATTGATTGATGATGACTTCAATTCCAAGGTTTCTGACTTTGGTTTGGCTAAGCTACTTGGTGCTGGAAAAAGTCACATCACAACACGGGTCATGGGAACCTTCGGGTTAGTATAACTTCAATAATTTGCTTTGTTTTTTATTTTGTTTCCTAAATTGTAGGATTTTTTGAAATGTTGTTGTATGTTAGATTGATCTAAAGGAATTATATCATTTTTATTTTCTTTCTTTTGAAATAATGCAGATACGTGGCTCCGGAATATGCAAATACGGGCCTTTTAAATGAAAAGAGTGATGTTTATAGCTTTGGCGTTTTGCTTTTGGAAGCAATTACAGGAAGAGATCCAGTGGACTATGGTCGTCCTGCTCAGGAGGTATGTGTTTAATACGATATAATCTGAGAATCTGTTAGAATCTTGACAGCGAAGATGTTTTTGAATTTTCATCTACTCAAAAAATTTGACGCAATTTGGATTCAGCATGAAGACTATTATGAATGATTAGACTATGCATCTGATGTTGGATATGCTATCAATATGATCCATTGAGAACAATCTGTGATAATGTTTTTCGCGTTGCACCACACTTATAAAGCTTTTGTTCTTAGCCTAACATTGGTTTGTGCACTGAGCCTACTCAGTTACTTTAGATTCCTTTCAAAAACTATTACTTTAGACAGGAAAGGATTCTTCTCCTTTATCTCTCTCTTTATTTTCCCTTTTAGGCTCAGCTTCTTCAATACTCTTCATGATGTATTATTATTTTTATTTTTCAATCACAGGACTTCCTAAAGGGATATCTATGGGTATGGGACATATCCCTTTTATTGGCATTTAACAGCTGTACATTCTGAAGAATTTATTCTTTCATCAATCCTAATGCGGAGGCATACGAAATTATCCCATAAGTTAAAGCTCATAAAACTAAAAGTCTCACATGCCCATTTCTCATATGTGATACAAGCTTTGGATAGATTGATTCTCATTTCTTTCAATTTAATTTTTGGATCATTTATATGCTCCTTTGAAGTTGCTTGTTCTATGAGTTATGCCAACATCTGTAATTTGTGATATTTAATGAATCAAGTCTTCGAGCGAAATTTATAAACTTAGTCTCTTTAAGCCTCTTCATTTTTTTTTCCATACTTTCTCCTTTTGACTTCCGTCTGGTTATTTCCCTTCAAATATGCTCTGATTTTTCAACAATGTGATGTTTGCAGGTAAATCTTGTTGATTGGCTGAAAATGATGGTCGGAAACAGGCGCTCGGAGGAAGTAGTGGACCCTAACATTGAAACCAGACCATCGGCAAGAGGCCTAAAACGAGCCCTTTTAACTTCTTTGAGGTGTGTCGATCCAGATTCTGACAAAAGACCTAAGATGAGCCAAGTAGTGCGTATGCTTGAGTCAGAGGAATATCCTATACCAAGAGAGGTAAGTTTTCTATTCTGCATGCATATGGCATAAACAATTTTATCTGAATTTTATCAGTAAAGAAACTGATCGGTCTGCATGTAATTTTAATTGAATTCATCTTCTATCGGGTACTACCTTTAGAGAAAGTGAATTTCTCTTTTTTGCCTTCCAAAAATTTCATTACATCAGATTTGCTCCTTTTATCTGTTTAACAGTTTAAGCTAATAGAGTTGCTAGCCTCATTCAGATTTATAGAATCTTGCCATTAGTTTTGTAATGGATAAGTATACATACTACATCAATTAACACTGCATCAATGAAGAAACCTCCTTCATATTCAACCTTTTCTTTAATTAGTGAGTAACCTGCGAAGCATTCTATCTTCATGTGGGTTTTCTCTAATCTAAAGGTTAGCACCCTCTTCATTATCTCATCTCTAAGGTTACGTATCAAGGAAGCTAAGAAAAAGTCCTGGGTATTCGGCTGCAAAATTTATGGATTCTCTTTTATTACCTTATGATTACTTATTTATATTCCTTATGCCTTTTTACTTTTATCTCGATCATCTTGAAATCCGAGTTATTGCATCTTCCACTTTTGTAACTTAGCTACTTTGGTTCATCCGTTCATTTATGGAAACAAATTATGTTGACAACTATCATGTACCATTATACCTTGTCATTGGTAAAATAAATTAATTTGGGAAGAGCCTAATTGATGTGTGTACCTTTTCAATAAAGAAACTCTGATATTGTACATATGATTGTTTCTTATATTTTTCATGGTGGTATCCCTGAATATATGTTTATTGCGATCTGGATTATTTGTAGTTGCATGTGCTTGCACATCCTTGTGATGGAATTTTGCTTTTGTAAGTATTTCTTTTACTTCCACATTTATCCACTGTATTTGAATGGGGCTATTCAAAGCATTAGTTCTTGTTGTGTTGCACTACTTTGTGATAGAATTTTGCCTTCAATTATTTCTTCAACTGGTATATTTCTACGTCCTTTTTTGAATGGGGCTATTAGTATCATTAGTTGTCTTGAGAGATTTTACCTAAAGTGCACAATTGAAGAGGAAACACGTGATATTCCTCTTTTGCTTTATGCCTTGGGGCTGAGAATAGAAATTTCCTACCCCACAATAGCAGCAATCATGAATGTATATCGATTTAGTTTGCTTTCAAGTGGCATGGCAACCCAGTGAAAGCTCTAGGGAAGTGGTAATAGACACTGCACTAATGCATCGGCTTTGGAGAGTGTCAATTTATATTGAAGATTCACTATTTTAGAGGCAATGTCTTGAATGTTGTTCCATGCTAAACTTAACCAACATCATTGCGAATGTTGTTCTGGACTCGGGAGTCATATTCATAAGTTATCGTGATACAATGAATTTGATGCTTCATTTAAAAGCTTTATTCTTTGTGAATGAATAAATCTCTTAGCATAATACTGTTATGGTAATGATTCAACCGCTTATGTATCTTTTTCTTAATTGCATTTGATATACATTCTGATCAAGAATTCTCTTTACAGTTATAAAAAATAAAGTGAATAAATTTTGCATTTTGAATCAACAGTAGACCACCAGTCAATTGATCATTTATCTCTTTCTCCATTTTTTTGTTATCCCAACATTATACTGTGCAAGCTGGCTTTCTTTGATTAGATGATGCTTGGTTTTAAAAGCTCTTCAGTGCAGGAATGAATGTTAGTGATGATTTGTAATTGGATTTTGATTGTATTTATTACTACAGGATCGAAGGCACCGAAGAACTCATGCAGGTAGCATGGAGATTGAATCCCAGGAGTATATTGACACCGACAAGAGTGGCAACCCAGATCCAAGATCAGAGAGCAAAAGGAACAACAGAACAAAGGCAAATAGTGATTTTATAGATGACCTGGGGACATATGAATTGAAATCGTAATTCTTACAATTTTTTTCATGTTCATCAAAGCTTGGGATGTGAGTGTTGAAGCTGATATCTGCAAGGGCACAAGAGGGATTTGTTATCGGGATCAAGGTGGGAGCTACTGGTGGGGAAGAAGAGAATTTTCCCGTTATTTTATTATTTTTATTTGTTGTTCCCCATTTGTCTTTGTTTTTCTTCATCTGATCTGTCTTGCTAGTTTGTATGGAAGTTGATAGAGAGTTGATTGTTTTGTGTATGAAAGTGGTGGTAGTGTGCCAAAACTGATCAGGGGTTGGCGTGGAGGCACTTTGGCTTGTATGGTCAAAAGATTTGTGAGTTGTTTTATTTCTTACAATGGATGTGATACAAAGGATAGTAGCCCACATGACTATTCGACGTAATAGGTATTCTCCCAAGGGGCTTAGGGGAGGCTGGGTTGGTAAGGGGGGATTACTTTTGTTAGAGCTGTTTTTTCTTTCTTCCCCGTGAACTGGGATGTTAGAGTGACTTGTTAGCACTTTTAGGCCTCCTCTTTATGTAGATAAGCTGCAAGCAGAGTGTTCTCCTGCGCTTAAGTAATGTGATTAGGGTTGAAAATATTGTATGATTACTATACTAATAGATGGTTAATTACATTGAGTAAAGAGATAAATGAGTTTAATTAGTATGTTTTGAATTTTTATTTTCTTTTGTAGTGTTTATCTGTTTTTGCAAATAAATTAGTTTAGTTAAAGATTTGAAGGACAAATACAAAAAGAGAAGAAGATCCAAAGCATTAAGGAGTTAAAAAGGGCCACTTCCTCGTGCGTCCAGACGATTTGGAAAGCGCGTACGGACATGACTTTCAGTGGCTGCAAAGAGAAGATTGAAGGCACGCGTTCGGATGGTAGAAATATCGCATCCAAACGGCCACTCTAGTAGTTGCATGCAGAAATTGATTGAAGCAATGCGTTCAGATGGTTGAAAACACACGTCTAGCTGTGAGTAGTAGACAGGCCAAGATAACAAGGGTGCATTAAGACGGTTGAAAACACGTGTCAAAACACGATAATTAGAACCGATCAATTACTTCATACTTTAACTTTATTTAAGTTTTTGGTACCCTAGTGCCTATATAAGCTGATGTGAACCATATAGAGGGGGGTTTTCTCTTAGCCCCTCTTCCTTAGTTTTTGTTTTATTTTCTTATAGATTGCAAAAGTCCCTAACAAAAGTTAGGGGAGAAGCTTTTAATAAAGCACGATATTGTTTTTGATCCAATGTTCTTAATGTATGAATTTTTCTTTTAATTTAATTCATGTCTTTTAGTAAAATTTTTGTTCTGATAATTACTTGATTAGGTGTGCCACATACATCGAATGTTTGAATTCCCTGCGAGTAAATAACTGGTTTTACATGCTTGAATTAATTGATTAGAATTTTCATAAAATAATTAATTCCTTACTTGTGATAAAAATAAGTTTTATTTATTGAAAAACTTGATTCATCGCAGATGGGTACGATGAATGCTTGTGATTTACAATTAGATACTTAGATTTATAATATTATCAATTATACTGTTGGATGTTTTTAATATTATAACTCTTAAAAATTCCGATTGAGATCACTCAACTAATTCTTAATTGAGTTAAAAAATCGGATCATTAATAATTATTTTGTGGAATTGAAATGGTATCTTCAATGCTTTAGTATTCTCAATTATTGGTTTTAGTCAAACAATTTATGTTCTTCTGAACAAACAATTTTTATAAAAACAACTTTAAAACAATTTTCTTTTAATTTTTCTGTGTTCTAAGTCATTCACAATTGTATGAGATGCGACATCGGAATTCCAAGAAAAATTGATTACTTCGCACAACAACACTTTGGTTTTACACTATTTGAGTTGTAGCAAATTTTTGGAATCATTGTCGGGGATTTGTTGGAAGGCAAGGAGCACACCATCATACCTTAAGATTTGCTTGATTTGAGATTCTTCACAGATCTGGT